ACTTAAATAAATAAATAAATAAATATTAGCTGATGACAGTGATGATGATAGTAATAATAACTAACTACCCTAATGGTTCTGAACAAAACCACATTAATTTTCCATCTACTTCATTGCTTGTAATAGAAGCATCTAGCATTAATGAAGAAAACATAGGTAATAGTCAAAGGTTAGGTAAGAAGAGGCGCCGAAAACCAAGTTTATGGAATAGGAATAAAGCCAAGACCAGGAAATTGTACAGTATTGACTACAGAAAAATATCTTGTTGATTAGTTGGTTGCAATAACTAGATACGTCCCAAAAAAAAATTGGATGTATCTAGTTGTTGCGACCATTGAAAATCTAATTATCATAATTTTTTAGTTTTTTATAAATATTTTTATGGATATTAAATTCAAACCAAAGAGAACTTGTTTAAGTGATGTATCTTAATCTTACAAAAAGAATAACACCTCGTTTTTAATTTTTGGTTCATTTCCCAATTGTATAGATAGTTTTTTGTGTTTCCTGAACATTACGAAAAATGGACGTATTGGTTTTTGCACCGAGGCCTTCAATTGATGCATTTTTATTGCTAATAAAAATTGACATCGAAAAATATCTTCGATCATTTTCAAATCAATACCTCATGACTCATAATCTAAAAATCGTTCTTACACTTTACAGTGAATTTGTATTATGTATAGTTGGTGTAAAAGAAAATATTTTTTAGTCGTATACTGAAATGCATTCGAATTTATCATGCCACGATGAAATTGCTTAAATTTCTTTGACCGAGCGCCATGGTTATAATGTATAGCTTGTATCCCGACGGATGACTAAATCATCTTATACTTTGATATTTAAAGATATCTATATTTATAATAGTCATTTTGAGACATCTATACTTATTTGTCTTAATTTTTTCAAAATAACATATTAAAATACAACAATATTATTATTAATATCGATATGAATAAGATGAATTTAATAGTTTAAGAACTTAAAATAGGTAGTTTAATCGCAGTCATCATTGATCTTGAAATATCTCGTTTGTTCTGCCATATAATTGAACACATTTTTATTTGAATTCAATATATTTATTTTTTTTATAATTGCAGAGGAAAAACTATTATAATTATCAAACGATTGCTTTTATTATTAGTTTATCTTAATATAACGATGTTATTGAATTACACAATAGATTATTATCTGAGAAATTAAATTTATTGGTTGTACACATACAATGAGTGGAACAAACGGAAAAGTTTTCTGGACTGCAGAGTCATAAATAACAAATTAGAATTTTGCGTTCTTTAATTCATCGATCGGTGTCAACAGAAACTTTGAGCTCTTTGTAGTTCGATGGGTTAGTAGAAAAGAATTAACGATGTTAGGATACGTGGCTCTTAGTCATTGATTTCGAATTAATAGGTTATATACACAAAGCATACACACTTACATATACACATATACACACTTACATAAACGTCAAACCCGCACACAAATACCAAAGGCCTTTTGCGGGTTTAGAGTTTCGACGGGCACAAAACGGTGTTAACAACACAATTGGCCAAGTTTGGCCGTTTGAACTTTTCACGATAGATAGTTTTAACTAAAACGAACGACGCGACCGCCACGGTGGTAGTGGATGTAAAACACCGTCAGAAATTCTTTGAACAACAATATCGTGCACGTATCGGATGAATAGCACATTGTGAGTATACAAATATAGAATTACATAATCGTCACCGTTTAATAATGTATTAAATATCATAGTATAGTGGTGTATTTCTTCACTATATACGCATTCGTCGTACTATAAAACTATGTTTGCTCATAGACGATTCGAGAGTAATAAGCAGATTCATAAAATAGGTAACAAAAAATAACACAGTGAAAATGATTCTTTAAAATAGTATATCATCATAATAGCTTTAGTTTTTAATATAATTATGTTTGATTTCAAACTTCTGCGAAAGAGCCATTTTTACAAATATGAAATAGACATAAATTGCAAACAAATTAATTTATATAAGTAGAGTAGTGATGACTGATAAGATACAATTTATTCTTATTCTATGAAGAAAGGATCCTAATTGCCTGACTGAATTAATCTATGAACTGGTTCATTTGACATGTAATTGGTGGAGAACCTGGGAATGTGAAATGGTGATTTTAGATGGATTGGTTACTTTTTTGATTACTATTTGTGAGAAATATATATACATATATATATTTGAACAAATCTTTGGTACAAGCAACGCCTGGTTGACATTGTTTACAGATATACCTATAAGATATTTATCATTGTAGTTTATTTTATTCTCTCTTATGATTTTTGAAGGTCATACACAACTTAACTGTCTAAACCATTTATGGACGCCTAATCTATCAGCAAACATTAAATAGTGAAAATTATTTTAAATGCCACCCAAAAAATTAAACATTGATAAATTAATCCGACATGAGCAGCAACTATATCAACGAGCCCTGTGTGAAATGTGTTGACAATGATATCTCATAGACGCTGTGTATGATCTCAAAGCTAACGTCAACGATATTAATCTCTGTTGTGTCACTTAGATGATTGTAAAAATTACTTCACACGGTGTACATCTCAGATATGTCAAAGAGATGGTTTTGAAATTATGAGAATTACTTCACAAAATCTTCTAGGAAATGTAGTAGAACATCTGAAGATCGAAATACACCCTAAGAAACTGGCAGGATCAGAGATACTTCTTCAAGAGCTGCTGGTAACCATTGGGCATTGGCAAACCTATTTATATAGATATAAATCATATATTATATTTTGTATACTGTACATATAATATAATTTATAGTATTATTAAATAACTATTGTCTATCAACACCTGATTCTATACCTATGTAGAGACTTCTAGCTTTCTATAATTTACACAATAAATTATATTATTTATTGTTACAAAAAAATCACACAATATATCAAGGTATTATTTTTTATAATTAAATAAGTCTCAACGAGGAGTTCTATGTAGCAAAAAAAAATTGGTTTTTCGTTGCAGCGTATAACCTCTTTAGCTTTCATTAAGTTTTAGATTGTAGTTTTGTGTCGATTGTATGTTCAACTTCACTTGGTAGAATGTGTTTGGGCGGAAGAGATATTTTTCGGTTCAATTTTGGCATTGAATGTTATTGAGAAGTTGAAATACTGAAGATAGGTGGTGGGCAAGCATGTCAGGTTTTTCCATATCGTTGACATAAAAAAACACATACTAGACTTGATAAAATCAATAAAATCAAAACCTTCATCTCTAATCTAAAAATCTAATATTTATTTTTAATTTTTTGTTCTACCACCATGCGGCCCTCCAAGTACTACCGTGTAGTCTTTAGTACCACAGTTTAAGAACTACTAGAATAATGTACAGCAAACCAGTACTCACTCACTTTTTCGTTGTTGCTTTTGCCGATAATATTGAAATAGTACAGGGAACTTTTCACTTTCAACCTCCTCCCCAAAATTGCCAACTAGATTAAATTTAAAACTTTTTTTCCCTCCGTTTTTACGATTTTTTTTCAAAAAAACGTATCGTGGATTTACTTTCAGCTTCTTTTTTACTTCCACCAACAAAAATATTTAAGTCAAACCTTGTATTACATTTTCAAGTTTTTTGACAGAACATTTTTTTATCGACATTAGTTTAAAAAACACTAATAATATTCGAAAATTTCATATGCCTATAAATAATTAAACATCAACAAGAGTTAAAATATTTTGAAAATTTGATGGTGTTTAGAAAAAGTGGATTACATATTCAGTGAAAATGTCATGTATCTACTTTATTTTTTACAACCTGTTGTCGGTGGTCATATTGTTTTGTCAGTATAATCACTTCTATTATAATTATTTGTTTAAATTGTACCTCTTATGAAGACTATGCCATAGGCGTGTCCAGACCTCATTCGCAGTTCATGCACAACTGTAGAATATCCAGGGGAGAGAAAAACTACACCCCCCTCCACCGCCAATAAAAAATTCTGTTAGGGTATTGGGATATGACCCCCGAATTTAAAGATTTTAAATTAATTATTTTAATTTAGATCAAATTTTGCAGGTCATGCCTGAGCATGACAGACAAGACCCGTGGACACGCCTATGCTCGATGATATCATCGAATTAGTAAGTTGTCACGGAGAAGAGGACTAAGATATAATGGACTGAAAAGACGATTTGAGATAGTATGGTTGCCTAACGACACACATGAAAAATGTTATCACATGCATACGATTTGAATCAAAAAGTTCTAACCTCCACACATTGCGTTCACATTGGTTAAAATTAAAACTAATAAAAATTGGTATGTTAAATATAAATATACCATGTACTAGCTGATCCTGTGCACTTCGTTGCCCATTAACAGTGCCAACTATAATATTATGTTTTATTTTATAAAATGAACTAGTTGACCCGGCAATGTTTTCCGGCAATCCCACCAATCCTCGAATGTAGATCAAATTTAATAACCTGAAAAATAATTTCTTATTATTATTGTTATAAATTATTAGTTAGTTAAATCTAAATACACTAATGTGTTTTCGGGGGGTAAAATATTGGAAGAGTCTTGCAGTGTTGGTAGTCTTGGTATTGGTCTTGTAGCAAGACAAAAACCAATTTTAATCATCACTCTTCAAGATATATACTGTATATAAATATAATAACGGTGTGTAATATCAAAATAATTGGATATTTAAGCAATAATTTATTTTTTATTCACACCTGGCGAATAATATTATAATTTCATAACGTAATGGGCATTTAAAAAATATCTAAACAATTTATCTAAAATGTTAACATTAATATTATATTATTATTATCATTATGATGTATGTATTATTTTATCATGCTCATTTTTATAGTGTAGGTTATGTATTATTTGTTTATAAATGTACATTGCAGATGTTCTATTTTTTGTTGTTTTAAATTGTATAATTATTAGCTAATCAATAAATAAATATTAGTAAATACTTCAGTTAAAACAATTTTTACAAACAAAATATCATTTTGAAAAAATTATTGGTTGTCGTTACTTCATCCCAGATATTTCATGTAATAATTAAAATGAAAATTATAATAGTGCTTATTTTGAGTATATTTTTGTATCCTCCATTCACAACTCAAGGTAATAATATAATTATTTATTTAAAAAATCACAAAATATATTTTTAATTGTATTATTAAATACATTGTAAACTTTAAAATGTATTTAAGACTTAATTATACTAATTAAGAGGATAAAATATGTTATGCGAAGCAATAAGTGTATTGATTTCACAATGATGTGTATTTTTTTTGTATGTCATTATTTTTTAAGACAGTAAAAATTCTTTGATCTTCAACTAGGATATATCGTACGATAGGAAATTGATTCTAGTTAACATTTTGAAAGATATTATGAAGTACACTTAATACCTACCTACTGTACAGCAAAGTTGTTATCTACTCACTCACTTTTTAAAATACTAAAATGTATATTATTTGCACTTAATTATTTATTACATCCACTATAAACTTAATATGTATAATATTGTGTATATTAAATTTCTTAGATGGAACAGAAGTCAAAAACAAGGTGATTTGTTCTATAGCTGGAGGAACTGTTAGTGCTAATTTTGTATTCGATATAAGCCAAGTGCCAAATCGTTGTGATATATTTTTGGTTTCTTCATTTTACATTGACCTGGTGGATAAGGTTAATGCTCATTTTAGGGAATCAGATAAAGGTAAATAAATCACTTAAAAACACAAACGGATACCTGATTTTGTGTATTTGGTGTCACCAAATAGGAACATACGAAGTTTCGCTTGTTGTAATTTTTAGATTTTAGGTAGGTATACTGTTTATGAAAAAATAACTATTATTGAAAACATTTCGTTAGTATTATTATTTTTATTTTCGTTTTTATTTAAGAGACATCAAGTGCAACACAATATGTCGAATTTGATATCAAAGAAAAAATAAATACCTAATTCACTATAAAATATGCATTGGTCCATATTCAAAAATTAAGTCGTTTTTTTTAAAAAAAAAAACAAAAAGAAAATTTTTAAACCACATATTGTATCAAAAACAAATTTAAAAAAAAAACCAAAGGATGGTTTATTATGGTTTTTAGTTGGCCATAATAATATTATTAATAATTGAACAAAAATATTTTAGTTGGTATTGATGATATAACTATACAATTGTCATGATTATAATGGTTCTTAAGCAATGTGTTACTATTGTTAAAAAAAAATCACAACCCATTCATTTTTGTATGATTATTATAAAGTTATAAATGTACATAATGTGTTCTAATATTAAAATTGTAATGATTATAGGTATAATAAGAACTTTAAAAAAAGCTCAAAAAACTGTTTTCACAAGCATTGGGTTCTTGATTTATCCAGAAGGCGCAATACCGGATTGGTCCCCCCTTTTGAATCCATCTGATAATGATACATTTAAGAGTGAATTATTTGATCCATTAGTCAAGTTTTTAAATGAATTTAAAATCAATGGTTTACTGATAAATATACATTTTATAGATGAAGTGAGTTAAATATGACAATATAATTTTTTTTCAAATAAAAATTTTTAAGTTCGAATATTACAACGATATGTGATTTTTTTATTTTTATGTCACGTCGACCATTGAGAGTTGTAAAATTGCTTAGATTTTCGACTTTAACGGAGGTTGTTTGAAATAAGTTAAGTATAGTTTTTAATTATAGGGAGGCTGTAAAAGGTAAAAAATGTATTGTAATTTTCAATATTATAGACAAACCCAACAAAAAAGGTGGGTAAATGAGTACCAGTCTGCTTTACATTAGGTGTTATGTGCGTCACCGTAAAACTGGCATGTGAAACACGCTGCCCCTAACTCAATTTTTTAAGGCCCACGGATAGCAACTTTAATGAACAGTGACTTGGTGTGACACGGTTGGTGCACTTAGTCAAGAAAAGTGATTGAGAGTATGCACCATCCACTGCCACTAGGTTCACGTAATCACCCAGGTTCTTAGTGGTAAAAACTTTGCCACACATACGAGTTGCCCAATAACCATACCAACCCCACAAAAAACGAGTGTATAGTGTGGAGCATATAGTGTAAGGATTAAAGAAAGATGCTCAATGACAAGACTGCGCATATTTTTATAAGAGACAATGTCTAATATTTATACAGACAACCAACAACAAACCCAAGCTGACGTCAAGCATATTTTACATTTATTCTTAGGAAAATTTTAAATTTATTTGAATAAATTAATCTATAACATAATAGTAGTATTTATTAATTTACTATGCATTCATTGAATATATTTATTTTAGATTGAAATTGACGATCTCGAACACAAAATTAATGACTTTGTGACTAATATTAAAGCAAAAGTAAACAATTTAATAGTTGGATTGATAATAAGTGGTTCGGCCTATGAAAGTTTTCCGAATACTTCAAGTAAGTAAAATATATTTATATACCTACAAGGACAATACATTATAGTTGTTCTTTATGTTTATGTAAATTATTTCTTTTTATTTCAATTAATCCTTTATATTTCCAAATAATACACTTAACTATTAAGAAAAATATATTTTATTACATATATATATTTTTATTATAACCATTTTATATTTAAAAATATGTTGTTCCAGTTTTTGATTATGCAATAACAAATAAAGCAGTGGATTTTTATATAATTGATATATCAAATTTAAACGTATGTGACAAAGATTCAGTAAAATGTGGCCTCAGTCCATTTGCATCTAATATTACAGATATGTTAACTATTGTACGTACCTATTCTTAAAAACATAAACATATTAGGTCAATTTAAAATGAAAAAATCATTTGGGCCTTTTTTTTTAGCATCAAGTTACTAGTTCTTTAAAAAATTCATCTATTGATTTTTCAAAAACATTAGCTGCGCTTCAAGCGAGTGTAATAATTCCAGACGCAGTTATTTTCAAAGACGCTAGGACTCCTTTTACATCGTACTCTATGGTATGATTATTATTATTATTATTATAGATAATCATTAAATAGTGGTAAGTAAAAATACATTTTAGAATCAATTTAACAAAAAGTTATTGGAATTTTTTACGATAGTATTATTTCTAATATATGAACCAACTACTCCGAGATTTTCAATCAGAGCACCTAATAAAACATTTTAATCTGTCCTTGTTATGAATAAGTATTATGTAGATAAATGTATTTAAAAGAAAAGCCGGTTTAAAAAAATTGTATATTCATTTTTTTAAAGGTTTTTTTTTGTATCATTTTAAATTTATTAGAAAACATCATTTTCGATAAAAGTTATTTATTTACTTGTTCATTGAAGGACAAAATAAATAGATAATTAGTTAAAAATTATTATAGCATCTAAAGATGAGTGGATAAGTGTGAGACGGCACGGTCGCGACTGACCGGTGTCCGAAATAATAACACGTTTGGTTATGGTTATTATATCTTATTTATTTCACATGTCACATCGTATTATTAGAACGTACAAATGGGGCAGCGAGGGTCACTGGTGAGACGGCCGGCCTAAAGAGACTGACTGTTGCTGTGAGAGCTCGGCGCGATCGGCATTTGCCAGGTGCCAGGTCCTAGATACAGTGGAAGGAATGTGATGAAACACAGGCGTGTACAACCGCTGTAGTGATGGGGTCAGTATACCACAGAGCGCGAATCGCAGGAAGCGGCTACTGCGGTATACCGGACCCGGGTTTTGACACAACTCAATCAAGAGGCCAGAAAGGGGGGCAGTTAGGAAAGCATCGGTCCCTGTTCGGGGACGTCGGCGTCGGCGGTGGAGTCGATTCCTATGCTGGCCGATGAAACGCGTCAAACATCACTCAAACGCCGGACCCCCGGTACTAAGTGCGGCGGACGTCGCTATCCTAGCTGCGTGTGTACTGCCGGATTGCCGTACACTATGTTGCTGACTACTTGCTGTGGTCCTTATAAGCGCGCTGGTCAAATCGGCATGGCGGTGTGACTGCAGCGAATCGAGCTTGGTTCGAGGTTATCGTAGTTCTGGCTGCCCTGCTGATCGTCGTTTCCAATACATCGTAGGCGTTGGGGCTTTTAATCGTCAGGTTTTCAGGTCTTCATTCCTTTTAGTAGTTGTCGTACTGTTGAAGGTATGCAGGTTGATGGAATACTGATAATCGTTCCGTATATTATATTATAGTGCTTCCCGTACCGGCTAGTTAACCGTGTGCTGTCGTGAGCATTTGAGTTCGTGTTCGGTACGGGAGGTGGTGTTACTCGCATGGTTTTAGGACTATATGTGTGCGGATGGTGTCCTTCGACGTGTGTCGGTTTCCCCTACACGGACTACATGCATCACTGTGGTTGGGGGTGTGAGACAACGTGAGGATCTGTAATGTAAGCGCGAAGTTGTATCAGAGGTTAGTGAGGTCATGCTGAGCTGTGATTGGGGCGCATGTAAATTCCACCCAAAAATGGTAAAATGAACTACGGGTAAAATAAGGTACATGTAAATTCCGCCCGAAAAAATGTATTACTGTAAATAAACAAATTTCTGAATGTGTCTTATTAATCATATTATTACTGACATAACATAGATTAAACATTATAATTTAGATGTGGGTATTTAAATAAATATATATTTCACATATTAAGTCAATAATTACAATATAAATCATGTATAATGGTAAGAATAATAATAATTTTAAAAGTAAATATAAAAATCATAATATTATAGTAAAATTAAATCATAATCAATAATTAGCACAATATATATAAAAGTATTAAAAATCGTAAAATAGTAAAAATTATAATAATAAATACGAGTCAAAATAAAATCATCATCAATAATTAGCACATATTATTATAAGTCGTGTATATTGTATAGCATATAAAATTGTTAACAATTTTTAAAAATTTTTAAAATAGTAATAATTATAATAATAAACACGAATCAAAATATCACTTCCATACTATTTATTTTTTGTTCGTGTTCGAACATTTTGTGACTCCCAATACTATAAGTTATATAACGCGCAGCGTCGCGAAAAGTACGGTCGCGTCGTACAGTCACGGAACGCTTGGCTTAAAAATATTTATTTTTCCGGGTGGAACTATCTTTGTACTTGTATATTTTTTCGGGCGGAATTTACATGTACCTTTTTTCTTGGATATTTTTCCGGGCGGAATTTACAATAGACCTTGTTTTTACCTGTCCATTTTGGGCGGAATTTACAATCTCCCAGTGATTGGTAATCCTGAAAAGGACCGTTTTATAGTGTGCGACGGTGTACCGTTATAAGTGGACCATCATATTTTGAAGTTCACTAGTGCTACCCCACTCCGCTTATCTAGACTATTATATTTTAGTCACAATGACGTACTTCAGGTATGAATAAGTGTTTATATTATTTATATTCAACGTGCACATGATCAACTGTCCGTTTGTAGTTCTCAATCATAGTCAATTCATAGAAGTACTCAATTTGTATTAAAGTAAATAAATAAATAAAGCTTTATATCAAAGTCAATTTACCAAGAATCATATTAATTTGAATAATTTAGAAATAGGTAAGGTAGGCATAACATTTGATGTAGGTACGCCAAACCTGGAAATATTGTCAATTTTATGTACTAAATATTTAATTTTGTGTAAAAGTTTATGGGTTTGGGTTAAAAATATCTCCATGTTTATATAGATCTTTTGTGGTTCTACTTTTAAATCATCATTTCATTTTGATTACAGTATTGTAACAGTACCTACCGATCCAACTAATTCATCTCAATGGTGTACTAACCCTTCAAAACTTTCATATGAACAAGTAAATATATTAAAATCTTATTGTGCACACGATGTCTCTCGTTGAATGGTTAATGACGGAATAATATCGTAATCGCAAAGAAATCCGGAAATACATGCGGATTAAGATCATTATGATATTAGAATAAAAATTGAAAATGTATAGTGATAAACATGATGTGATAGGATAAAATGGACTATTTTGAAGAAAAGAGAATCTTAAGATATAATTTTGGGTCTGATCAAATCGTGTATACTAAGATTTACCAGCGGTGCAACTGCCAAAGAGGAGGGTTGTATCGATTACTATAGCCCAGAGTCTGCAGGGAACCCGACCCAACTAATAATACCATATTTCCGTATTTGATTCTGATTCACTTAGTAATTTAACACAATCGTATTGAAATCGTAAAAAAAAACCGTTAATACACACGTCTGAATAATATGTTATAGGAAAATAAAAGTAGGAAAAGTATAGCGAAAAACAAGGTGTGATAGAATAAAGCGGATAGTTTTAAAGGAACGAAACATTGTATTACAAAATATAATTTGGGGTCGCCGGTATGACTCTGCGTGGCTCAACGGCTGTCTAAATCATCCAAAAAACGAATTTTTAAAATCAGGAATTTTAGTATAGGGAAAACTGATTTAAAGTGATCGACTAGTGGTGTGATCTGTGACCTTGGAAGATAGGTGAAAAAAGACACTGTCAGAAAAAAGTGTCAGCAAATAGACGTCGATTTTCATGTTGATATTTTCATAAAATATTTTTTTTTTCGATAAATTTGCATGTGTGGCCCGCATAGTAAATTATTCATATATTCGGCCCATTCAATACTTTGATTTTGGAATACGGCAAACGTCGTTGTGTAAATTTACAAAATTTAATTACATAAGTTAAATAATTCAAGATCCACGAATAATATTCACGCGTTTCTTCCACGCTAACTCGTAATTCTCACTCCACTAAGGTAGGTATAGTTTACACAATATTTTGAGCGTGGAATTTATCACTTAAGTCAATAAATTATGGAAACATTGAATATGACCAACTACAACTTTAACCAACACTAGAATTATTATTTATCATGTATGAGGGACATGAATCTCAAACGAGCACCATAATAAACACCATCGAACTTTGGCATCTTTTCAGTAATAAATTAGATAGGTACTGGTCCTACTATGATGGACGAATATGAATGGTTAATTGATAACTAGGTCAAAATGTATTCAACCAACAAATTTGTTACCTCTAGAGTCCGATTTACCATTTCATTGAAGTCATCAATCTCATCGATGTGGTCGAGAATTTATTATGCATGAATCAACAATTGCTTCATTCTCATTCCAGAATTTTGTTACGTTTTAGTTAAAAATATTAGCACATTTTAAATATCCATTTCCGCATTAGCTCTTCTTAACACTTCACGTAACTACGCGAGAGAATAGATTACGAATTTAAGTAAACGATCTCGCAAGAAACGAGACCACATGAATATGTATGACCTAGTTTTTTTCCTACGGATATACCCGATAATATACACATAAAGCTATAGCTTACTTATGATTTATGAAATATATTGATGCTCATACAAAATTTAAGTCCTAGAAGTGTCCATGTAACACGCACATACAAGGAAAAAATATTAGGAGAAAAAAAACAGAAGGAAAAGTATTGCAAAAATACATGTTATAATAATTAATTAAGTGCCTGTGATAATTATAATGTCGGTCGGTGGACACTTATACAGCAAGGCTTGCATAGTTTTATCAAACAAATATAGCTTTATAATAATACAAATAAACGCAACAATTGTAAATGTTGTTATAAATCGTAACTTACGAGGATAAAATACAATTTTAAGATGGACTCCGATTGGTATCGCACACGTGTTATGTACTTCATTGTGATCTGACGACCTGTTGTCGTGTTGGTGACAACGACTAATCAGCAATCACACGATTAAACCCTAGACCTATTAATTAAAGTTAAGTAAGTACCTGCAACGAGAGATGAAAACGTAAAACGAATAAAACAAACGGCGTACTCTTCGTTACTGTTGTTGTTTTGAACGTAATGATGGAACTTGTGTACACAATGTAGTAGCGTCTTTTATACAGTTCATGTTTTAGTATTTACACACTCGGATTTACGATAAAAGGTTTTGCGTAAGGAGGTACCAATTATCTACGGCATGGGTATTTTCTAATTGGTACCCAACTCTTGTATATTAATTTAACAAATAAATAAATATTAAAAAATTACCTAGACCATAAACATACCAGCAGTTATATTTCTCATTTACAAGTACTCATAATTAATATAGTCTTTTAAAACATTTTGATATTAAAATACCGTTTTCCTAGAATATGCATTAGATTCTGAAGTTGTTTTAGTGTTTTATCTGGTTTATTTTACATCTCTCTTCTCTTCATAGTAGTTGATAGTGGTCGGCTATTGTTATACATTTAGTCTTATTATTATTTTGTTGTTTCTTTTAGGGAATTTACGTAAAACAAACCTATGCTGGAATCGTCCTATATTCGATTGATAGAGATGATTACGATGGCAAATGTGGATGTGGGAAATGTCCAGTAATAAACACAATGCTTGATGGATGGACGGGAAGGCCACTTAAAACGTGTAATAAAATAGATATGAATAAAACCGATATTAATGAAAATATATTATCATAAATATTCATAAATATAATATAATGTCTAACTACAACTTACTATTTTAATGTATATTTTTGTTTAAAAACTGTAAGTGATTTAATATATTGAGTTATGTCAAATATTTTAAGAAAAATGGAAGGTCTACATAATAGCATAATCCATAGAAATAGACTAAAGAAATCCCTATAAAATTAAGTAGAGAAATTAAAATTATAAATTTTATGGATCAGTTTGGCGGATTAATAAACTATCATAGAAACATACGAAAAACGCTGTATAAGTAAGTTATGTTGGCGTAAACCTTGATTTAGTACCCGGGCTGGTGCCAGTATTGCTTCCGCCATTTCATCTGCATTTGACTGCTTCGTACCTACGTCTTCGATTGGATCAACTGCTGGATTCAATGGTCGGGGGTCTTCTGGTTTTCTGATCTGGTGCTTAGTGGTTGAAGATTGAAGGAACACTGAATGTTGTATGTTATTACGTTTATTAATATTTAACAATCATAAGTACAAGTGAATGTCAACTATAGAGTACACGAGGTTTTGTGTAGAGATGATTATAAAGACATAATGTGACTTATCACGCATGCTACTGATAAGTCACTCACAGTCTGTCCATATACAACATCTCTCTTTTCATGCTAAATTAAAACATAGTATTACAAATGACTTGTTACAACAGATGAATTACATTTTTTTTTTTTAAATATTAAAGTTAAATTTCCTTTTTTTTTTTTTAATATTAAAGTTAAATTATACTAACACAATAGAATTACATCAGTTCATAAGACTTAAATATATTACAATGAGCATCAAACTGATTACAATACACTACACATTAACAATTTATGTATTATTTATTAAGTATACAATTACAATTTACAAATCAAGTCTGTCAGGTATTTTTACTATTCTACCACTTCTAGTAGTCACTGGCACTACTTTGTTTTCCTGTAATTTATTTTTTTGTGGTTCACTCTCTTCTACATTTTTGCTTTCCTCACTACCTTCTTTTTCACTATCATTCCAGTCCTGCAGCTCGTTATAACTCATACTTTTATTAAATTTATTAAATTATGGTCTTAAATGCCAAATATTCCTTCTGATTGTACTACCACTACCTACTTCAACCCAGTAAGATCTTAGGGTATCTGCTTTGCTTATTACTTTCCCCGGTATCCTTTTGTCTTTTTTAAACACCACCACCTTTTGACCTTCACAGAAAATTACTTCCTTTTTATTATTTCTCTTGTCATGCCACTCCTTGTACTTTCCTTGTGCTTTTTCTAAATTAGCATGAATTTTCGTTTGTAATGTAGGCTTTAACTTAGCTTTTGAAATTGGTAATTTTGTTTTTAGCAACCTACTCATTAAGAGTTCTGATGGGGATGCGTTAAGTTCTATCATGGGAGTGCACCGATATTCTAACAGAGCTGATTCCAAGTCTACTCTCTCACTTTGGCATTTTCTCAACAATTGTTTTGAGATATTGACTGCCTTTTCGGCTAATCCATTACTTCTTGGGTATTCTGGGCTAGAAGTTTTCACTACAAAATTCCATTTTTTTGAAAAATTTATAAACGCTGAAGAATTAAATGGCATATTGTCTGCAATAAGTGTTTTGGGTATACCATGGCAACTAAAAATTTTTTTAAATTTTGCTATCACTGCTGTTGCTGTTTTATTTTTGATTGACCTTATTTCTAGCCATTTTGACCAGTAATCCACTACAACTATGTAGTTAGTTAAATTATAAGTCATAATGTCAGCAGCTATCTTTTCAAACGGCAGCTCTGGAATTTCATGCAGCAACAATATATTTTTTTTGTTAGCGCTCCTAAACGTTTCACAAGTTTTGCACCTCAATATATATTGTTCTATCTCATTCAGCATTCCTGACGAAAAAAATATGTTTTTAGCTCTCATCCTTGTTTTGGTTATTCCTAAATGACTTTCATGAAGCAATTTCAAGATTAAAGGTCTCAGGCTATTTGGAATTATTATTTTTTGCTGGTAGTAAATAACATTATCATTAGCTATTATTTCATTTCTCATATTAAAATATAATTTAACACTGGTATCAACACGGTCACTCTTTGGCCAGCCGTCATGACAATAATCAAGAATTTTACTCAAAACTTTGTCCTGTCTGGTTTCTTTTGGCAAGTCATAAATACCATTATGTGGGTTGTAACGATATACACTATGCACTATGTCCAAAGTGTCAAATTCACTGGTCTCCTCACTACTTTTTAAATAGTTTCTCGATAACAAATCTGCAATGTGCATATTTTTCCCTGGCAAATACTTCAACTCTATGTCATACTCGAACAATTCTATTCTCATTTTTTGTAATCTATTTGATGGTATTTCGTAAACATTCTTGTTCATTATTGATACCAATGGCTTATGGTCAGTCCATGCTACAATTTTTCTACCATAAATGAAGTGTCTAAACTATTAGAACATGCATAAACTACACTCAAAAACTCTTTTTCAATCTGCCCATACCGAATCTCCGTTTCTGATAAACTTCTTGAAGCATATGCAACAGGTATTTTATTTTGCATCAGGCAACACCCCAGCCCATCTTTTGAAGCATCACTCTGAATAACAATATCTTTTTTAGGATCAAAATGTGCTAACACTGGTGGATTTACAATTAGCTTTTTTAGTTGTGTAAATGATTCCTCGTGCCTCATTTTCCATTCCCACAGTATATCTCTCTTAAGCAACTCTCTCAATGGACTTATTACTGTGGCCATATTTGGAACAAACTCACGGATATAATTACACATTCCTATTATTCTTTGCAAGTCCACTCTACAACTAGGTTTTTTTAATTCTGTAATTGCTTTGACTTGTTCTGGATCAGGCCTCATTCCATCTCCATTGATTATGTGACCCATGAATTTGACTTCTTTTTTGCAATATTGTAATTTATTTTCATTGAATTTTATGTTCATTTCCTTTGCTCGCTTAACGATTTTCCTAACCAGATTATGATGCTCTTCTTCAGTTTCAGTAGCTACACAATAGTCATCAAAATATCCTATTAGATTTTCCTCATCTAAATCCTTAAAACACTCTTGAGTTCTCTTAATAAATGCCTCAGGTGCACATGAAATACCAAAGGGTAATCTTGTAAACTTAAAATACCCTACAGGGGTGCTAAACGTACATAAGTCTGTAGAGTCCACATCTAGTTTAACGTGCCAAAACCCTTTCTTTATATCAAACACACTAAAATATTTTTTGTTGACAAATCTAGCCCGTATATCATCCAATGTGGGGATTAGGATATACTCTCTAATAATCACTTTATTTAATTCCTGGGGGTCTAAGCACAGTCTTAAGCTTCCATCTGCTTTATGAACTATAACAATGTTGCTCGACCACTATTTGGGCTCTTCAACGGTTTTGATGATACCATTTTTCAGAAGACTATCTAGCTCTTTTTTAATTTTTCCAATACAGTCTGAGGAACTCTCCTGGGTGGTTTAATAATACCCTCCGCATTCTTCATTATTTTAATCTTATACTCTCCCGGAAACATTCCCATACCCTTAAATATTTCCTTATTGTTATTTATGAACAACTTTTTTTTATCATTACTAGCCTTATTTGTTTCAATACCGTCTATTTTACACGTTAATTGTTTCCTTTCTATTAATCCAAATGCAATACAATCTGTTAGTCCTAATAATGGTTGTACATCAAGGTTTATAATTAAAAAGGTTACTTTAATATTAGTTTGATTTTCCACTGCACATTCTAATACAACTTTACCCATTGGTTTGAGTTTAAAACCTCCATAAGCTTCTAACTTTACATTAGTATTACTTAGTTTAATATTATCTAATTTTTTAAATATTTTAAAAGGCAACAAATTCACCTGAGACCCAGTGTCCAACTTTATACTTACAGTCATAGTATTATTCAATCTAATTTTTTCATACCATACATCCGTGTTGCTGGGTTGTTTTGACTGAACTCCAATGTTTTCTTTGACTTCATATACTCCAAGTAGCTGAACTGATGATTCATCTTCTTCACTTGATCCATTTTCCGCTTCCTGAACTCTGACTTCCTTCACAAATGCCTTCATTTTCCTTCTGCAAACTATAGCCCAGTGATTGAGATTGCCACATGAACGACAAGTTTGACCATATGCTGGACAGTTCCCAAATTCGTGTTCTCTATTACACTTATGGCAGCACCCTTTTTTGCTAATATCATCTTTGTTAATAAACTTTTCTGAATAGTTGTTTTGTTGACTTGAGCTATTCTCCAAGTAATTATTCCGATTGCCATATTTCTTACTAGCAAACTTTTTGACTAGGTTTACTGATATGCCATCATCTTTTCCACTGATAATTTGTACTACTTGTTCATGCGCACTCTCTGTGCGTTTAGTTATCTCAACTGCTTTTTCCAGTGACAGGTCTGTAATACCAATTAAACGTTCCTGTAATGCTTGATTGGTAATACTAAGAACTACTTGATCTCTAATAATTGAATCAACTAAACTACCATATTCACAGCTTGCCGCCTTGATTTTAAGTTCAGTCGCGTAATTATCAATAGATTGACCATCAGCTCTTTTGTAAGTCAAAAAACAATGTCTCTCATATACAATATTTTTTTTTCCAACACACAGTTTTTCAAATTCTTCCACAACTTTATCAAATGATTCTTCACTTTTAGTGTTTAACAAGTCAGTTTTTTTATAGTATTATATATTTTAATTCCGTCATCACCGATAAGTGTGAGAAAAATGGCAATTTTCGTTTCATCTTCTTTAGATATTTTCTCTGTTGTTATTAAATAATTCTTGAATTTTTGTTTCCACTGTAACCAGTTAAGTTCCAGATTACCCGTTATTGATAGTTCACTGGGAGTTCTCAAATCCATCACTGTTACAATTCACCACTATTATATTATTATATATATATATGATATACATTACGTTAACTATAATACAGATTATTTCGTCCGCAGCGCCATGTTGTATGTTATTACGTTTATTAATATTTAACAATCATAAGTACAAGTGAATGTCAACTATAGAGTACACGAGGTTTTGTGTAGAGATGATTATAAAGACATAATGTGACTTATCAAGCATGCTACTGATAAGTCACTCACAGTTCCATATTATACAACACTGAATGTAGAATGATAGGTGTGCCACTATCACCTCCGGATGAACTCATCGAGTCTACCGCGTATACACTGGACTTTGGGGACAGTAAGTTTATACATATCGGTATTGACCTGACTGAAAAATAACAAGTCGTGATTCATTTATTGTCTTCATCGCGTTCCGTGAATATTTTTCACTTTTCCTGCTAAAAAAATAGCCGAACAGTGTATGGAACCCACACATCTCAAAAAGCGAAAAATCTGTGCAGATTTTCAAGCAGAAAACGCCGAAAAAATGCGACAAGACAATGCGCTCAAGAATAAAAAAAGGCGAGAAGCTTATGCTAAGTTGAAATTCGGTAACAACGAAAAACTTCATCAACAGCTGGTGCTCAAAAATAAAAAAAGACGAGAGGCATATGCAACTGAAAAAATTTCTAACCATTTACAGTTGAAAATTGTTCAATTTCAAAACTTAATTAGACAAGTTTTGAATTACGAATTTTGCCCCATTCATCAAATTTTGCAGCCACACAGCGGTAATTTGCAACCATTAGACGAAAGTAAAAGTAGAGTAGAATTTTTACTGGTATCGTGAACTTCAAACGCACTGGGTATGCGTTTTTTACAACCTACAATCTATATTTATTTACGACCCACTCAACAGACCTGATACATATGATAAAAGTATTGGTTTATTATGATTATTATTTCCTAAACATACGGGAACCAGAAAATTATACATTGCCCTTACGCGGAATATCCCTCGAAAGATTCGGCCCTTAATGCGATTTCTATTGCCACGAGTTTATTTTACAATTTCAAGTCTGACAAAATTTTATACAAACAAGGCCTCGAAAAACATTTCGATCATATGCTAGAGAACAAAGTTATAAAATATTTCCCGTTTGAATTTAAAAAGTTGAATGATGCATCAATTTACAATTTTGATGAAAGTCTTATTACCACCGGCGATTGGTTGAACGACGATCATATGTACTGTGTTAATTATCTGGTGTGGAAATTTACATTTTATGACCCAGTTGATACCGTCGTAATATAAAGCCCCGAACAGTACACAAATATTACGGTTGCACGAGAATCTAAACATTTCCAAATCTTGCACGGCTCAAATCACTGGATATGTTATAAATACGAAAACAACAATATATCTTTATATGATTCAAAATTCAACGGCAACTTGAATGAGCTACAAGAGAAGTTCCTTCGATCTTTACATCCTTCGTGTTATATCGAACAATATAATCCGAACGTTACCCGTCCATCTGTACAACAACAACTTAATAGCGATGATTGTGGTGTTTTCGCCATCGCATTTCAAGTTAGTCTTATATTCGGATATGATCCGCAGCACCTATACTATGAAAGATCTCAAATGAGAAAACATCTACTAAACATACTTAGAACCAAGACCTTAGAAAATTTCCCATCAATTTATAAACAACAAGAAATTGCCTTTAACATTCATGCGTATGAGTGCTGTCAATTACAATCACAACAGCCGGCTAATGAAGACCATGAACATGTCCACGTCAATCAGATAAATGGTGAACAGCAGACTGGTCCCAAAGATGCTGACTATTTTGAAATTACTAAAGAAAAAAACACCAACAAGAAAAATAAGAAAAAAATCGTCTACTACGACTACCAGAAAGAAGTATTCATGTAACACAAATACGTTCAAATATTATTAGATAAGTTACACAATTTACATGACGATCAGCCTGATCATGAAAACAATCGATTGAAATCTCAGAAGATAGTCAAGTGGGTATTTTACAATAAAAAAAAACAATCAATCAACTTAAGTGGACGTTTCAAGTGAAATGTAAAAACATCGTTATAGTTGCTTTGGAAAAATCGCAACCCATTCCTAAATCAAACGTTGAAACATATGTTGAGGCACTCTGCGGAAAAAGTCTTCATACGCATAACAGTCAGCCTTTCTTTAACGAAATTGGATTGAATGCAGAGCGCATGGAGGTTGAGGATAATTTGGTGACTGATGAACCAATGCAAATTGATCTCCAAGTACCGAAACAACTTCCAGCAAACTCGTTATATTTGATTCTGCATTACCATGTGTTTATTTTTTATTATTTTATTTTAAGTAACCACTCGCACCCATCAGAATAATGATTATAATAATGACGAATAAAAATAAAAATAACATAATTATTACAAAACCGAAATTAATCGTAAGAAACCTTTACAAAAGAATATCGGTTCCGGTAAAGTTACGGTTTTTAAATTAATTTAAATAAGGGTTCCGGTGGGGTTCCGGTTCCCAAAATTGAAAGGGTTCCGATTCCAAAACCGGTTCTTTTCGGTACGGTTCCAGTTCCTGATACAAAGTCCCACTTGTTATCTATAAGTTTAACATTTTAGGTATTATTTATAAAGAAGTACTTAACTATTTTTTAAAACATCTCGTTAATCATTTTTATTTAAGAGACATTAAACAACACATTGTAATTAATTTCGTGATAAATAAAGTTTTTATGATGACAAAGAAAAAATTAATGAACTCACTGTTCAATAGGTATTCGCCAAAAAGTATTCAAAAATTAACAGTCATATTTATAAAAAAAAAAACAAGGGTAAAAGACTTAAAATACTAACAACTGACACAAAACAGAACACCAACTCTTCTGGAACTCCTCGAAGAGCTGAACATATTTCAGAAGATATAACAAAACCATATAGATTATATCACATGTGATTTCAATAACACAAACCTTAATATAACATTTTAAGATATTTTGTATACAATTTTAGTAATAATGTATTTTAGAAATATTAAAATCGAATGTATTTCTTCAGAAACGCCAATAACCCTGGTAGTTGAGGCATATTTTTAAAAAAAAGTTGAAACTTAAATTTTTAAACCACATATTGCATCAAAAAACAAATTTAAAAAAAAAACCAATGAATGGTTAATTATGGTTATTAGTTGGCCATAATAATATTAATAAATAATAATAATTGAACACAATTAATATTTTAGTGATTGTTGGTTGTGTAGATATAACCATAGATGATTACAATGGTTCTTAAGCAATGTGTTACTATTCTTAAAAAAAATCACTACTTATTCATTTTTGTATGATATTATTATAAAGTTATACATAACAGCATATCAATAAATTATTGCTATTATTTATACATTTCAATGGTGTGTTAACTAATGAAATAAAAAAAAATATTAAGTACCGTACGTTTGTTTTTATATTAACATTTTAATGATTAAAGGTATAATAAGAAGCTTAGTAGAAGCTAACAAATCTGTTTACATACGCATTGGGTTCATTTATGAAGATGATTGGTCCTCGTTATTTGATCCGTCCGATAACGATACATTTCAGAAGCAAATGTTTGATCCATTGGTCAATTTTTTAAATGAATTTAAAGTCAATGGTATTATTATTGATTTTATATCCATATATGACGTGAGTTGAATAGGAGAGTATAATTTTTTATTAAATCATAGTTTTAAATAATATTACAATGGTATGTGATTTTTGTTATTGTTTCTCTCATCATATTTTAGAGTAGTTAAAATGCTTAGATGTTCTACTTTAACTGAGGTTTTTTGAATGAAATTAAATCTGGTTGGGTGGAGAAAGATAAAAAATGCCCTGTACTTTTCAATTCGATCTGAAAAACAACAACAACAAAATTGGACAAGTGAGTACCGGTTTGCTGTACATTAGGTGTTGTGGTGCATGGCATTGGGCGATTGCTGCAATCAGTCACACAATGTGATTGAGAGTACGCACCTTCCATCTGCTATTAGTTTGAGGATGAGTGACCACCCAGGTTTTTAGGGATAAAACCTCACCAGTTACCACACGTGCAATATTTACTTGACAACCATACCAATGCCACAAAAAAAAGCCTACAATAGATAATGGCCATAGTCGCCGGACTCAAGACAAATAAAAAAAGATTAATTGATAAATATAATGAACAATTAATTAAAAAAACAAATTATATAATTTTCCTATCTTGTGCTATCAGGAGTTGTACATTATGTTACTTCTCTGTCTTCTCTTCTGATAAACACTTATTTAATAAAACATATGTGTATAGTATTGTGGGTAACGTGTACAGTTAAACAAGTTTTCGATAAATTTGCAAGTGTGGTGTAGTAAACTGTTCAATATATTTTGCCCAGTGAGTTTGATATGCTTGCCGTGATGGAGTTGGTAAATGTCATTGTGATACCCAAACAAAAATTTATAATATATCTAAGTTAAACAGTTCAAGAATAATATTTTTAAATTAAATACCTAATACAACTAAAATTGTTATTCTTTGTTAAAATATTTTATTTTGTCAAAATTTAACTCAAAATTGCCAAGCCTTGTCATAAACGAGTTAAAAAGTTAAAGTTAAGTTAATTTTAACTTTTTAACTCAACTTAATAAAATTGAATTATTTTTAACTTAACTGATTTTTATTGATATAAACCTAATAAATAACGAGTTACTTTGAATAAAATCCAGTTTCATTAATTAATTTATAAATATAATACAATTATTATTGATGACACATATTGCATTAACATTTACTTTTTCTTAATATCATACTGGCTACTAATATATTTAATACAAAAATATTAATGAGTTAATTGTAAGTTTTAAAATAACTCTTAACTTAAAATTTAAATAGCTATTAACTTTAATCTTTTTAAAATGTTTTCGATCAACTTAACTTAACTCAATTAAAAATGTTCATTGACAAATTTCAAGTACCCATCGGGCCACCTCTTGTTATTTGTTATTGAATTTCAACAATATATCAATAATAGATTAAAGAATAATTAATTTTAAATTATTAAAATGAAAGTTCCTTTCCCATAAACTTTTTTTTTTGTCACATGGAACTTATAAATAATCTTGTACTACATTTTTAAATCTTAAATTCTAAGTAGAACAATGACTGAACTGACATAATAAAGTTGATGTGTGAAATAGGTATAAGCTTTATAATAGTAGTTGAAAAATATTTTTAGTTCCATAAGTGAGATGTTTTATAAGCATTTAAGTTTGTGTAACTTAGTATAACAAATATAATCAAAATTCAACAGGATCACGAAAATTATTTTTTGGTCAAAAATGTATTAAATGTTTGACGTTAATAACTCAAAATTGACAATTTAAAACAAGGTTTCTCATGAATACTTAATAATATATACTTTTTACTTCGAAATAAAAATATTTTATGGTGTATAGAAAATGCTAATTTAAACATTCAGTGAAAATGTCATTAATCCGTAATAATTTAACCTTAGAGGTCCACCCAAAACCAAAATCAATTTCTTCTATAACAGACTATACTTAGAAGTTCCCGCTTTCCCCATCTCATTTGTAAACTACTGATAATTTCATTTCCCGAATACTACAACTATTCACTTTCACATCGGAAAAAAAAATAATAAATAAATATAAAAACACACATCATTGTAAAATCAATACATTCATCGATTTTCTCGGAATCTAAAATATTCTCAAAAATCAATCTATAATATAATACTAGTATCTATTATGCATTAATTGAATAAATATATTTATTTTAGGTTACCATGGACAATTTCGAACACAAAATGTGTGACTTTGTGTCTAATATCAAAACAAAAGTAAATAAATTAATAGTTGGTTTAGTCACATCAGGTTCGAACTACCAATATTTTACAAATGATGAGCGTAAGTAAAACATATTCAATTTGTATACTTATGAGGACAATAAATATCTAATTATAAGAATTATTATTGTTGTTCTTTAATTTTATGTAAATTATTTCTTTAATTTCTTGTTATTTTAATTAATCCTTTAAATTTTGAATTAAAGCGCGTAACTGGTGAGAGAAAAATATTTTTATTATAAATCATTTGTATATTTTTAAATTATATTTTTTATGTTTCAAATATGTTCTCCAAGTATTTAATTTTACAATAACAAATAAAGTGTTTGATCTTTATATCATTGATTGGTCAAATTTAAACATATGTGACAAAGATTCAGTTAAGACTGGCATCAGTCCAGTAACATCTAATATTTCGGATATGGTAACTAATGTACGTACCTATTCTTAAAAACATAAACATATTATGTTGATTTAAAATGAAAAAATCATTAGGGTATTTTTTTTTTTAGGAACAAGTTACTAACGATGTAACTAATTCATCTATGGATATATCGAAAGTATATGCTATGATTCAAATGTCTCCAGTAATTCCAGACAATCTTCTTTTCAAAGACGCTACGCATTGTATCACAACGTATTCTATAGTACCTATGATTAATATTATTATAATAGATATTTATTTAAGAATAGCTAGTCAATATACGTTTAAGTATCAATTTAACAAAACAATATTGAAATGTTTTTACAGTAACATAATGATTTCACATTCACTTTTTAAAAGGTTTTTCTTACGTAATTTTCAAGTTATAATAAAGCATGATTTTTGATAAAAATTATATTTTTACTCTTTGAATGAAGGACCAATAGATAATTACTGGTTGATTATAAATTATAACAGCATTTAAAGTGTAGATAAGTTACTAAGTTAGCAACATATTTTGAATTTCACTAGTATCACTCCACTCCGCTTATCTACAAAAAAAATATTTTAAAAATATAACATATACACGACTTCTATACATGAGTGTTAACCATCACGATATGTCTGACAAATTGAAAACATCTATTTTATAAATAATTTATTAAACATAATTTGAAAAAATTCGATTCTCTTCAAGAGAATGATGTGTGAAAATAATCACAAAGGTTGCAATGCTTTTAATTTTCATACAGTATTACAAAATTATATAAGTTGTACAAAAACTCACCGACATTGATACGAATAAATGTTAATGCTATCTATTCTTAACATATACAAGACCAACTGGTTATTTTAGTTCTCTACCATAGTCAATTCACAGAAATATGCAATTTATATTAAAGTAATTTAGATTTTGGACATTGGTTAAAAGTATTTCTTTGTTTTTAGATTTTACACATTTTTGGTTCTACTCTAAAAATCATTATCTCGTTTTGATTACAGTATTGTAACAGTACCGATCCAACTAATTCATCTCAATGGTGTACTAACCCTTCAAAACTTTCATATGATCAAGTAAATATACTAAAATTGTATTGTACTCACGAAGTCCCCGTTGAATAGTCATATGACAGAATCATATCGTAATCTTAAAAAGGTGCTAAAACACACGTATGATGAACATATTATGAATGAATAAAAGTGGAAAAGTACGGCGATAAACAAGGCATGATGGGATAAAATGGGCAGTTTTGAAGAAACGAAACCTTATAAATACAAGATATAATTTCGGGTCGGCAAAAAACTTGTTTACTAGTCTAACAAATAAATTGTAGTAAAAAAATTTGGTGGTGCAACTGAAAACCATCCAAAGACAGTCGTAATGACCACCAACGTAAACAGTGCTGGTCAAGAATGTTCCTGTAGAGAGGCAGTTCATCTCTATAGAACCAAATATGTCATCGACGTATGTAAATATTGTTAAAATGCTCTTGGTGCTAGGAATCTAAGTGGCTTATCGGTTGTCCGATTCATCCAAAAAACGGATTAAAATCGGAAATTTTAGTTTGAAGCAAACTGACTTAATACAAACGGCTAGTGGTGGGGTCTGTGATTTTGGAAGATAGGTGAAAAAAGTTACTCAGTTTGGCCATCTATATGCTACCTACAGTTTTTTGATAGCAGCAACCGTTTCTTAGAAGGAACTGGTAAATAATTTTGAAGTGGATGCCGACCTCTTCACTTAAGTTTGAATGTAAATACGTACTGTCCAAATAAGCTGTCATTAAAAAACATTTATTTTCATTTCTCTCACCTAACTTGAAAGACGAACGGTAGACACATAAAACAAACAAAATGAACGGCGTACTTGTCGTTACTGTAGTTGTTGTTTTGAACGTAATGGTGGAACCTGTAGGTATACAAATAGTGGCGTTGACTTGTTCTGCTTTGCACCCAACACTCGTGTATTAATTTAATAGATGAATAAATATTAAAAAGTACCTATGCTTACCCGTGGTTTTATTTTCCATTTACATATTCCTATAATTACAGTCTTTTTGAACATATTAATATTAAATATCGTTTCATCTACCTCTCTATATAGAAGGGGAGAGTGGTTGGCTACAGTTGGCATTTAGTTCTATTATTATTTTGCTGTTTATTTTAGGGAGCTTACGCAAAAAAATTCTATGTTGGAATTGTAATACAGGTGCTTGATTCAGATGATTACGAGGTCTGTTGCGAATGTGAGAAATTTCCAGTATCAAACCAAATCATTGATGGATGGACGGCAAGCCCTTTTAAAACATGTCCTAAACTAGATCATAAATAATCGATTTTAATGAAAATATTTATTTATAACATTTTAATGTCTTAATTTATATACATACATAGAAATAACAGGTATCCTTGTACATTCTTAATAAATTATCATGGATATACATGTTTAATTCATTAAAATAAATAATATATCATCCAACTACAACCATTATGATGTGTAATTTTGTTCAAAAATTGTAATTGTTTTAATGGATTGGGTTATGTAGAAAAAGCGAGTAAGTAGATGTGGCTCTGCTGTACAGTAGGTTACAAGTGGGTCACTGTAATGGATGGTGTTAAATTTAAATTCAATAGGTAATATAAAATCATTAATTAGGAAAACGATTCTGACAGAAGACTGTCTATCAGCCTAAAATATTAATTTATATTACGAAGTATATTTAATGATATTAAAACTTAAGTCATTTATTTTACAATTATTAGTAATAAAGTAGATACAATTAATTTTTGATAGAAAATTTCATTTGAAATTTTCATTGCTTGATTTCAATATAATAATACACTTTGAAAATTGCAACAAAATGACTAAAATCGTTATTCTTTGTTTAAATATCTAATTTCGTTGAACTTAAAATATCTATAAAAAAAAATAATTGTGGATTAACCTACATATTATATTTTAGATTCCAATATTTCGATTACTATTTATACTATCTACTTATTACCTAACCTAACCTTATGAACTACTTATGAGAAATCTTGTTTTGAATAAGCTATACAAATTAATTATTGTGATGAATTTTTTTTAAATTAAAACTTTAAATGCTTATAAGTATGTATATTTAATATTTTTCAACTGCTACTATAAAATCTTGTACTAAATTTTCTAGCATTTTCCCCGAATTAAAAAATTTTAATGACATAAATTCAAATTTCAAAAGTTTATAATTAGCTCAAACCGAGTCAAAATATTTTGAAAATGTAATGACAAAATGAATATTTGTTGAACATTTCAAGTTTCTACAATTGTTCGTGAATTACAACAAAACAATACAATTTTTCCATGTTAAATGAGGGTAATATGTAATGTCGAAAAAAATCAATTTCAAACGCTCATGAAAAATTAATTTAATTCCGTTAAAATTTTTTTTGGATGTTAAAATAAGCTTAAATTCACTCTAAATATTTAGAAAATGTCATTCAGTATGAAAATTTATAATTAATTAACTTAAATTCCAAATTAAGAACTAAATTTATTGCAAAATATCACCAAATTTATTGTGGATAAATATTGAAGCATTTTTACTTCTCCGAAACATTTGAGGGCAATGATAGACAAAAAATTAACAAGAATTATAAGAAAACACGCAGATCATTCAGTTAACAATAATGATATTTTTGACAGCTCTGAAAATACGTCTAATATCGTATTAATTTTACATTTTAACAACAATTTTGATGATCATATTATAATTAGTTATTTATTAAAGTCTGACGTACCATATAATGTTTTCATAATTTAATGTACGTAATAAAAATATTAAAACAGTTTATCTAAAGTCTAGATGATCATATTAAACTATAATAAATATGATTATTTACTCATATGCAATTTAATACTGTTTTTTACAATTTTTTTCTTTAATAAATGTACAACACAGATGTTTTTTTTTTTTAATTTAAAACATTATTGTATAAACAATTAATAAATAACAAATAATGAATAATAAATAAAAGTAAATACTTAATTTCAAATAATTATTACAACAAAACATTATTGCTCGAAAATAATTACTTATCACTTTAAGTAGAAACAATATCTCAGATATTTCACGTAAAATTAAAATGAAAGGGTTAATAGTGTTTATCTTAAGTGTATTTCTTTATCCTCCAATTACAGCACAAGGTAATTCAATGATTTGTATTAAAAAAAAATTATTTTCAATTTCATTTGTGTTCTACTATAAACTTTCGCACACAATATGATATAAAACTTTACAATGTAAGCAATGACAGTTTCAAAATATTTAGATCGATTTTAGGCTTATCCCTACCACTCATGGTAACTAATTAATTTCCATAAAAAAAACACAGTTAAAAATTAAATATACTCAATGATATAGACTGACATATACCGTCTCCCCATTAAATTATTTTTTAAACCTAACCTAACCATGCAATTATGTATCATTGAATTTAAATTGAACACATAAATTACAGTGTCATACTCAATTATGAAATACACTCGACACCTACTAACCTACTACACAGTAAAAATGTTACCTATTTACTCAATTTTTAAAAATATTAAAAATAATAATATTTACACTTTATAATTTATTGTACCCACTAAATATGTTTCTAAGATGACTCGAAAGTCAAAAATCAGGTGATTTGCAGTATAGCTGGACGAGCATGGATGAGTACTTATACATTCAATATAACTCAAACTGCCAGAACGTTGTGATATAATTTCAGTAGGTCAATTTGCTTTTGACCGTAAGAATCAAGTCGATACCCATATTAAGGAATCTGATAAAAGTAATTATTAAAAACTGAAATACACAAACAGGTAGCGTATTTCACACTGATTTCTTATTTTTGGTGTTTGCTATATGGAAGTATACAAAGTCCCATTTGTTATACATCTGAGGTGATTCGTTTTATTTAAGAGTCATTAAGAGGAAACAAAATACCGTTCTAAAATATTGGCGTGTGAATAAATATGAAATATTACAGTACAAATAAGTGGATAGTGCACAACAAATGTTATGGTGAACACCATGTAATTTATTTCGTGATAACATAAGGTTTAATAATGACAAAGAAAAAAAATAAATGTAGTTTTAAAAAACAACATAAACTAAAGAAAATCTTCAAACTTAATGTTATATCAGATGTCATTTTTTATAAATGTCAATAGTAAGTAATACAATTGATTACAAATTGACAAGCGTATTAGTTACCTCACTAAAAAAATAAACAATTTAATAAATTAAATAATGTATGTTATTACATTACAATTTTAATGATTAAAGGTATAATAAGAAACTTAGTTGAAGCAAACAAAACTGTTTTTACACGCATTGGGTTCGTGTATGCCAGTAATTGGCCTTCAGTATTTGATCCTCCGGATACAGAAGAATTTCAGAGTAACAGTTTTGATCCATTAATCAATTTTTTAAATACATCTAAAGTTAATGGTATCCTTATTAATTGTAAAGACTTTTATGATGTGAGTACAATGGGACATTGCCTTTTTTTATTAATTTATAGTCTTAAAATATTACAACAATTTGTTTTTTTTTTGTTTTTTGTGGGTATTTTATTGTTTAAAATAATGAAAGTGTTAGATTTTCTTCTTTAGGTTAGGTTTTTTGAAGGAAATTAGATTTAGTTAGTAATTTCTGGAAAGAGACTGAAAAGAAAAAAAAATTTTATACTTTTCAAACTTTTCAATTTATTCCACTCAACTGTACATTAGGTGTCGTGTAATAGATTATATTATAATACGGGTTATCGTAATGTATGTGTTATATTTGAATTCAACGACATTATATCATTATTGTATACAAAATACGATACAAGATAATTGAAGGTATAGTAAATAAACTATATACGTTCAAGTACCATCACAAGTAAAAACTTTAAATTATAATAATATATTAAATTCGTTATTTTTCATTTGAAGATCTTATTTTCTTAAAATATAAACTCAAATAAGCTATGGAAGTAAGACTATATTATATATATTTTTGATTTTTGATTACAGTATGAAATACTTGTGAGAAATATTGGATTCAATTTTCAATTTCATTAACAGTAATAATTGAATATGTTATACATTTTTAGTTAAAAATTATTTCAAAATTTTCTTGGTTTTACGAATTTTGACAACATTTCAACAAGAAATCCTTATTAAGAAAAATCATTCATATGCATATAAGTCGATTGATTTTACAATAATGTGTAAAAGATTTTGTCTTATATTCTAACACGAAAAATAAATTGCCGAAATAAACATTTTTACTATAGAAGTTTAAAAATATTAGAAAAACATATAGTCAATAGTCACTTCTTTTCTATACCTAATCATTTAAAGTTCAAATCTTAACAAAATTCATCAAGATCGCCAAACGTTACAAATCGTTCTGTGGTTAAAAATGTATTAAATATCCAATAAATTGTGTAGTTAAAAGTAAACAATTTAAAACAATGTTTCTCATAAATAGTTCGTACTATGTGACCATATATGATCTACAAAATTATGCAAACACGTTTTTCAAAATATATTGAAAGTTCAAATTTGGATGCGCTAAAAAAATTAAACAAGGAATTCAATTTTTATTTATTTTGTTATAATTTAAAAATGTTGTACCTACATGAAAGTATATGTTTATATTTTAAACAAGCAATAACACCTTCAAATGCAATGTTTTCCGGAAAATTAATGCTATGTCCTGTAATATATACTTAAATAGCATAATATCATAAGATATACTTAGTGATATCGGGTAACAGACTTTCTCTCAAAATTGCTTGTCGTATGCATTGATTTGTCGTTGAATAAAAATTTAACACGTCACACATTGCATATTGACTTAGTGATGCACTTACCTGATGAAGAAGTTTCCATAACACGTACGAAACCTTTTTGCTTACCCAATACTTTTTGTTAAATTTTTTTTTATTTGGATTAAGGCTTCAACTACTAAGGTTAGCCTAGTACTGTGTGGGGGTAACGGTTGATTAGAACACATTTTTATGCGTAGCGAGGATATATTGCTAAAACCCGGGTGGTCACCCATCCGAGTGCTAGCAGCGATGGGCGGTACGTACGGTCATAGCTTTGGCGTAGATTGAGCGTACGACCGCACCTCACCAAGCCACTTTTTTATTAAATTGTATTTTAAAAGTTGTTGATTGCAGAATGGTTCAAAATGATCATAACATTAATTTTAAAAAACTGTAAACAAAACTTAAATAGTATTTTTTTTTTTTTTATCTTCTTTTTTTATCTTATTTTTAAGAATGTAATATACTCAGAAATATGTATTTTTTACTTACCTTTAGCAGAATTAACAAAAAAGTGATACTTAATGCTTTAGGAACATGACGTGGTTGTGTGCAAACTTAGTTAGGTAGCGATTGGTACTAAAGTTCAATTTTTCCTATTATACGTAGTGCTCTAATAAATTACCATGAGTAGAT